TTTGATGTTTGGTGGTGGTGTACGTTGGTTTGTGTGTAGAGGTGGTGGTTGGTGTGTGGTTGTATTCGTATTAGAGAATGTGTTGATAAATGTGTGGAGGTGGCGGTTGGTGTGTGGTTGTGTGAGTGTTAGAGGATGTGTGTTGGTGGATGTGGTGGTGTTGCGGAGGTTGTGGTTGGTGTGTGGTTGTGTTTGTGTTAGAGGCCGTGTTGGTAGATGTGCAAAGATGATGGTGTTGTGAAGGTGATGGCTGGTGTTGTGAAGGTGTTGGTTGGTGTGTGGTTGTGTTTGTATTAGAAGATGTATTGGTGGATGTGTGAAGGTAATGGTGTTGTGGAAGTGGTGGTTGGTATTTGGTTGTGTTTGTGTGAAGATGTTGGTGTGTGGAGGTGGTGGTGGTGGTGTTGTTGTGTTAGTGTCTTGATGTGTTGGTTTGCATGTGGAGGTGGCGGCAATAGTGATGTGTAGGTAGTGTTGTAGTGTGATGTCGAGGGGCATTGGTGAAGATATTATGACATTCATGTTTTTCTTTGGGTTGCAAGATTGTGGCATTCATATTTATTTTAATTATTTTTTTTCATGCTACTAATACAATAGTTAAAACAAAAGAGGTTGGTTCATCTGTAATGTGGAACAAAAATAAATTAATATTTTGCAACATTTACCTTAAAAATGTCGAACTAGAAAATAGACCAACAATCTATTTCAACAAGAAAGGTGGGTAAAATATTATTAAAAATTTTAAGGAAAGTAAAGACAGAGAGTATGATAGAATACAGTTATAAAAAAAAAGTCAGGTCAGTTAAACAAGGATTGAAAAATCTGAGAGGAATTGAAGCAAGGATCAACGGACTTGGAGCGGGATCCGGTAAAACGAAAGACTGATGCTTCCAAGAAGTGGTGGGCAAAAAGACTGACGGTGAATATTTTTTAAATAACTCTTACACGTCAAAATTTAATTTGTTCTCAAATCCAAAATGTTATATGAGCGAATTTATAACTAGTACCAACTGCAAAATAATTTTAAATACAGTAAAATCGATCCTGAACTTGAGGAGTTGGATTGTATGTTTGAATGTGTCATGGCACCGGACAACAATGCATGTGCCTCCACTGAGGCGAGGTTTGGTGGCATCCCCAGAAATTTGGGAGCTGATCAAACGGGTGATTCCAATGAAGGTCCCAGCCCGGACCTTCATGAAGTTGAGTCCACGAGCCAGTCAAAGCATCACCGGGTTGAAAGAAAAACCAAAAGAGGGAGTTGTTTTTCTTAGAAGTCAGATCTCACAGTTGGTGGCTTCATGCACCAATGACCCTGACCCATCACAAGCAACTTCTGTCCAGCAGGTTACATGAATTATGGATGCAACTCTAGAAATTAACGAGGACATGTCATTGCATTTGTTCTTTATGAAGTTGCTTGAAGATTCAATTCTGAGAGAGTTTTTCATAACGATGTCCGCTGACTTTAGGGTGGTTTACCTAAGTTATGGGAGCTGTGACATTTAAGGGACACTTTATTTTTTAATGGATTCTTGTGGAAAATTTCTATTTGTTTATGGTTTTTCATGATGCTTAAGATATTTATACTCCTTTGGATATGTCACTTTACTTGAGAGTTTCATTTGTCGTTAATGTTTTATATTTACTTCTTTAATGATATTTTCTTATGTTAGTTTTATTAGTAACCTTATATGATTGTAGTCAATTCATTGATGCTTATGTGTTAGTCATTTGGATACTGAAATACATGAATGCAACTAGAAAAAGGAGTAGAAGAAAAGTTGCATCTGCAGTATACTTGATGTACGAATATTATAACTTGTACAAAAAACTAAATTAAGTGTTCTCGAGATGAAAATGATTAGCTGGATGAGTGGTTATACACCTAGAGACAAAATGCGAAATGAATATATTCGTGATAGGGTTGGTGTAGCTCCAATGATGAACAAGACTAGAGAGAGTCGTCTTAGATTGTTTGGCCACATTAAACGTCGACCACCTGATAATTCAATTAGAAGAGTAGATGTTTTAGATTCAACTTATGTTAAGAAAGACAGAGATAGACCTAAAATGACTTAGGCATATTGTATAAAAAATGATTTAATTTATTAGAATTAAATGAAAAAATGACACTAAATAGGACATAATGGAGAAAAATGATTCATGTAGCTGACCCAACTTAGTGGGATAAAGGTTCTGTTGTTGTTATCGTTGTTGAGCCTAGAGTGCTTTTCTTGCAAGAAATTTGCATATATTGGCGACAAATGGGTTGAGAAGTTGCTTGCAGACCACCCAATGAGATTTACCAATATGTTCCTCATGACACA